TGGGTCCCAGTCCCTCCCCAGTATGTCCCAGTGCCCCCAGTGGTTCTCCAGTGGGTCCCAGCCCCTCCCCAGGGATTCCCAGTCCCTCCCCAGTGGGTCCCAGTCCCTCCCCAGTATGTCCCAGTGCCCCCAGTCCCTCCCCAGTGCATCCCAGCCCCTCCCCAGCGACTCCCAGTTCCTCCCAGTATCTCCCAGTACCCCCAGCCCTTCTCCCATGGGTCCCAGTCCTTCCCCAGTGCATCCCAGCCCCTCCCCAGTGACTCCCAGTTCCTCCCAGTATCTCCCAGTACCCCCAGCCCTTCTCCAACAGGTCCCAGACCCTCCCTAGGTACTCCCAGCCCTTCTCCAATGGCTCCCAGTCCCTCCCCAGTATGTCCCAGTGCCCCCAGTCCTTCTCTAGTGGGTCCCAGTCCCTCCCCAGTGCCCCCAGCCCTTGTCCAGTGGGTCCCAGTTCCTCCCTAGGGGTCCCCAGTCCTTCTCCAGTAGGTCCTAGCCCCTCTCCAGGGACTCCCAGTCCCTCCCAGTATGTCCCAGTCCTTTTCCAGTGGTTTCTAGGCTTTTCCCGGTACCCCCAGTGCCTCCCAGTCCTTCCTTAGTGGATCCCAGCGAGTCCCAGTCCTTTCCCAGTTCCTCCCAGCCCTTCCCCTGTGCCCCCAGTGGGTCCCGGTTCCTCCCTAGGGGCTCCCAATCCCTCCCCAGTATGTCCCAGTAACCCCAGTCCTTCTCTAACGGGTCCCAGTCCCTCCCCAGTGCATCCCAGTGCCCCCAGCCCTTCTCCAGTGGGTCCCAGTCCCTCCCCAATAGGTCCCAGTTCCTCCTTAGAGACTCCCAGTCCATCTCCAGTGCCCCCACTCCCTCCCCAGGGACTCCCAGTCCCTTCCCAGTAGGTCCCAGTCCCTCCCCACTATGTCCCAGTACCCCCAGCCCTTCTCTAATGGGTCGCCCCAGCCCCTCCCCAGTGGGTCTCAGCTCCTCCCCAGGGACTCCCAGTCTCTCCCCAGTGGGTCCCAGTCCCTTTCCAGTAGGTCCCAGTCCCTCCCCACTATGTCCCAGTACCTC